ATGCATAGCTTTTCATGCAAACCTTGCCACCTCCAGTTAGTATTCAAAATAACCACAGGTTACAGCATTTATATGAGAAAATCTTGACAAGCTAGGAATCAAAATAAGACACTAACTTATAACTTTAAGTGAAGCATTATGTGGATTAATAGTGAAGTGTTACTACCACAAATACTGCCTGCCTTGTTAAAAAGTTTGGATTCCCTGAAACACATTCAAGGCCAAAGCATATGTTAAGCACATTATCATAACAATTAAATGTTGTGGTTATTTAGACTCAGAAACAAACTGTTTTTGAGTTATTAAAGATACATGATAGCCAAATATATTCTCTGAACATCACCTCTCTTCAAATATCTCTTAGTAGAAGATAAAGTTTTATCCACATAACCACTTGCTATAAGCAATAGACTTAAAGCTCCAAACAAGGTATTCAAATTTACATATAATGTCAATGCTGTATTTCTTATCAGAGATGCAAATAAACTAATGTTAAAATCATACACAAAGAGTTGACTCATTCTCAATTCCAATAAAAATAAGTGGAAAAATGTTATCGGGGAGTGATGCTGACACTAAATCAATGCATTTGTGATCCAGTGTAAAATTTATCGCTATCTAAAAATACAGAACACCACCGAATGATTGAGTGTGTTAATTTCCGAAAAGATGTCTATATTTCCTTAAACCTAAAACGTACAAGTGATATATTTATAAGCTGCTCTCGACCAGAACTTTTAACTGATAACCAGGGCATACAAGGAATCAAAAAGCCTTTTCACACAATATTCTACTGATTCAAACAACTGAGAAAGGCCGTGTCGAAAATCTCACTTTCGATATTAAAACTTAGTCAATACACAATGCTCAATGTTGTTTTGAGACACTTACCGAGTGAAAACGAACGAAACTTTTTTCGTTTTGGGGTGTTTTTGATTTTCTTTCCTTCTCCAACATCTGCTTTGGACTCTTCGTCGTTATTAGTCGACATTATCCGAACAAAACTTAGGAGAATGCCGATAGAAAGCTCATAACCAGATTTGCTCTGTTCCTAACAGCGACAAATGGGAACCAGTTCCGTTGGCTTACCGCAAAAAGGTTCTGGGACTATCCAACCCTTTGCATCTCACAAATAATTCATTTCCTCTTTAACGAGATCGCAGACGGCAATATTTTGCTACTTGGTTCGTAAAAACAGCTATATTTCTTTCTGTGGAACCCCCACAGATTAGGACAAAGGAAAACAGTCAATAGTTGTTCAGCGCAAAAGAAATTAAGGCAGATGCAGTTGGTTCTATGCAAATTCAAAACCGAAAATTTTTTAGGATGTTTTTAGTTCACCTTCCTGAAACACTGATTCTTCCCTGTAAGCGATAATCACATTTTTTTAATTTAAGCAAAGAAATAAAAATCTTTACACGTAGATAATCAAATATTATTTTCGTGAGAACTAAGTCGTTACCAAGCTGAAGAGCGTCGCTAACTCTTAACAGTTAATTGCCGATATATTTAAAAGGAGTCACCATTTTAAAATGAATCACCTTGTGGGAAATGGAACGTAAAATTAATGTACTTTAAGGGAGGGCACAGTCAGTAAGGAAAACACGAACCCTCTACTCAAAATTATGTCACTGCTCGCCAACAAGTTCATATTTGGTGGTGTGTCTAACTGACTCGAGCACAACAAGCCTTTGAACATAACAAACAAACTATTTCGTACATTTTGAGCAAAAGATTATACAGAATTTTATGACAATTACCATAATCAATTGGGAAAAGTATAAAGAAGGGTAACATTTGTATAGATGAGCATCGTTACCTACGATCTTGGGGATGTGTGATCCCAGGGTTTGGTGGGAGTCAACTGGGCGATCTCTCCCAAGTCATAAATGTATTCCCAGAGGATCACAAAAGAACAAAATAGAATAAGGGAAGAAAAAAATTAGGCACCTTTCTCCTCGTTCTTTCGTGTACTCATTTCTGGGTGCGATCCACCGACTGGCTTGGCTGACCAAGACCTGAACGGTCGGTTTGCAATTCAACTTACTTCAATATGGCGGCCTATGGCAACTCAACTCAGTAGAAATTTGACGTCAATTTCCAAGCCAGAAGAGATTGACAAAGACTGTACTATGCATATTTTAAAGCGAGTCAATGTTGATTTTATGCTATAGGCACTGGTGCGAAAGCCTTCGGTCTTAGAAAGTAAAAGAGGTTTGGAAGCGGCCAGTTGTCGTTATCGATCACAAATGTACCGGCGAAAGAAAATATGCGCGCCCGCTGTATACACAAATTTTACGTTTTTCCATGTCATTACGACATTTCCGGTGAAACCTTGAGATGCGACCTCCCACCAACAAAATTCAAGAATAACTGAGAGCTATGATATCAGTAATATTGTCCGATAGAAGCTGCAAATATGGAAATTGACCCTTCAGATGCTCGAATACAAACACAAATTGCCGAACAAAGAATCCTTAAGGGTTTTATTTCATACCATGGTGTATCGGAACAAAACCAGCCGCCAACGAGTCTTCGATCTCACTGCAGTCGCTTTCTGCAGAGCTGTCCGTCTGAAAATGACAAACAGAAGAAATTTATGTGTCACTTGATACTCTTAAAATATAACTGGCATAATAATTATAAACATTCATTCTGTAGCAACATAAAGTTTACGTAGACTGTACAAAAACCACAGCATTAAAATGAATAACAAGTCGTCACATTGTTTTGGTTACAGGACTTACATCGTGACCACTCATTCCCGTGGTAACTGGTTCGGTTAAACCCCTTTCTTGCTCAAATTCGAACGGATTGTCGTCGGACGCCCTGATCGTTGGCGTGAACTGCGTAGAGTCGTTGAGATCCATACCACTTCGCCTGCTTTATCCTGCGTCAATGGCTTACAACTAACGTAATGCACATGTAAATTTTCCCTTGTAATCCCGGGAGAGCAGTAAACCACTGAATAAATTAACAAAACATCGACTCTCGGGGGTAGTGAACGTTATTATTGCCGTTTCTATGAAAAATGGTAATGGTCAAGATATCAAATCTAAACAAACAAACAAAACTAATCAGGCGAAGTTCTTCCCAAAGACATAATGATTATGGTAACTATTGCAGGCGTTACTTGGTTGTTTTTTTTCTTCTGTTTGCAACGCCAGATGGGAAATTGCCGAACATTGTCTTCTGATTCTGATTATCTGATTATCTGTATGCTGCCAAAGAGTAACCAATGTCGAGCATAGTTTGAAGCAATCATTGAAACAATGACCAGGCTCTGTCCAGTAACTTGAGGATGATGTCAGCATCAGACCCTTGTCTGTTGAAAGTAATGCTGTATTGCAAAGTTGTCCACGAGAACCCTACGAGGACAAAGGCTTTAAAACAAAGTACGCCTTGTCTATAATGAATTGTTTTGGAAAATAATTTCCATTATCTAGATCCCTTTACCATCCCTTTGTGTCCGCCCTTCAAAGATTGTAAACATTCGAGCAAGGTAAAATCGCTGAGCTACTTAGGCGGTAAAATGAAACCAGTCAACGTAATCATAAGAAGTCCCGACTTAAGAGGTTTAAGCTGGCTGTCGAGCCAGGAAACAACCTCATACCTGACATACAGTATGAGACTTTCTAATCTTGCCTGAATTTCTGTAGCACCACCAAGCTTAAGCAATCTGCACTGCCCTTGGAAAATCCAAAGGGTGCGTGAAGTATATTGTGACCTTCAAGAAAATCTCGACATCACGGCACAAATGATGAATCTGACACCATCAGCTAAAGTTGAATACGATAAAACAGATTGTTCTTTCAGCCCAATGGCCAGATGATGCCTTCGTTAGCTTCTCCCTCGCGCCTCTTAGAGATGTAGCAGTCAGCAAGGGTCCTCGAGAAATTGATTCGGAAAAAGCTCCGAAGTAGAAAAAGAATAAGTTTTTCTTCGTCATTTTTGTTGGCGTGCACGACTAATTTTTGCTTTTTTTTCCTTGCTTTTTTTCTTTTATTTCTGTAAAGGTACTTTCATTTATTTAATAATATTGGCATCGGTGACTGTAACGAAACTAAGTGCTAGATGGTTAACAACTTTTATTTATTTGTTCCTTTCCAATGTCTAACGGTCTGGCAATTACTTACGTTAAATTGATGAAATAAACCTGCTCTTGAAAGGTAATTTCAAGAAGAGGACTTGTTAAGGACTGTGAACAGTTGCTGATTACGCTCCAAAAGAAGCTGATTGGTACACAGCCTACATAAGTAAAAGTTTAGCGTGTGCAAAGATTAAAAGATCAAAAGAAAATCGGTACACAGCCTACATAAGGGAAGTTTTAGCGTTGAAAGATTAAAAGATTAAAGGCTAGTGATGATGGTCGCCACGGATTAAACATCCTTGGTTCCAAGAAAACTACGGAAACTCACTTGCGCTCTGTATTGGCTTGTACTGAGAACTCTTTTGGTAACTTCACACATGATGTTAATCAAAGCTATTATTTGATCACCAGAATATAATGATTAATATTGCTCAGGTTCAAAGTACGAATACTGCGGAAGTGAGTGTGCACAGTTAGCTAGAAAAGCAGCCACGAAAATGATAATAATGAAGGACATTATAATACTTCCTGCTGTGGATTACTTTCCTTTCATTTTAAATTCACCAAGTGGCAAAAATTCGTGTAATTCATAAATGATCTTAAACTGGAACATCCTATCGTGACAAAAAGGCCAAATTCCCTAAGCTAAATGTATGATTGATTGATCATGGGGATGAAAACGAAGTTTTCCACAAAGACATATACATCAGGTGATACATGTCTATCAAAATTGGGGATGAAAGATGTTTGACACTTTTCCCAGAAATCAGTCATTTTAGACCCACATGAGCAAACTGCAGTTCCCGGACTGAATATATTTTCCACATGCTTGATATTGAATACTTGTTATCAGTCCAAAGAACACGCTATTTCACGTGAATTTCATTTGTTCTTGATGGATTCAAAGCGTGTCGCCATTGTATTGTAATTTCTCGTGACAGGGACATTTGCTAGGAATAAAAAAAAACTTCGATTGCATCATTGAATTTTTAAGATAAACAAATGACAAATTGGTTAATCTCATAGTGGTTTCAAGTGGTTTCAGATTCGACTTTTTTCGCTAAATGGTCAAGGTCGCAAAGATCTTAAGTGCAACATCGAAAGTTTGCTGAAGTTGGAAGCTTATCCAGTCTTATTCCTGACGTAACAGGAGTTTCTAAGAGGTCACGAAGCGCCGGGTGAGTGAAATTCTGGCTTTGTAGGTTTTTCTTTCAACGATTGTCACATTCACTTGACGGTATCATTCTTGAGTGCGGTCTGAAAGTTTGTCCGCCATGCAGCTCGTCGGTTTACTCTTGCGTTTGAGTTTACATGTTCGCCGCAGTCCTTCCAAAACCAATCCTACGACGTGTTTGCTTAAAGAGCCTCGGGATTAAGATTAAGTGTTATCCACGTAAATTATAAGTTGCATTATTAGCTTTGTGTTGATAAAAGGTTAATATTTACGGAGAAAAACCTCTCCCGTTGCATGTTTCGCACCTAAACTTGTTCTTTATAACGGGTAGTATATTTCGTTCGACTGTCAGAGATTCCACTGATACAAAAGCTGGTCAACATAACGAAATCAGTCGGCCTTCAGTTGCAAGGCCAGCTTTACCAAAAAATGATTTCATATTTACTAACTTAATGGTTGCCTTTGTCCCCTTATTTTGGCTTTCACGGTCCCCATGACCTTGATATGAAAAAGCAATGAAAAGCACCGAAGCCTTGACCATGGCTACAACGAAAATTGGAGGGAAATCTACCGTGCGTGACTGAATCGCTGCATTGTTGATCAGTTGTTAATTCTGTTAAAGTACCGAGTTCTTAGTCAGTGAAGAACTGCTGTTCATTTGCCAAAACTAACTTTTAAATTTTAACTTAATTTGAATTCTTAGCTTACTCTTCCGTAGTCCTTCAGTGCCTTACAAGCTAAGCAACTCATCACTTACGTAACAAGGGTGATCGTGCCTCATCATGCTTTGAGTTAAACGAATGGACTTTCTTATTTAAGAAAATATTTTTATGTTCAGTGTATTCTTTTAACACGCGTACGATTAATTTTTGTATTCCAATGGGTCTATGGTATATCAGGTGAGCCCTTCCCACACCCCTCTATATACCATATACGGCGGTGATTTCCTTTGCTATAAATAAACTGACACCAAACAATAAACAATGATATCAAAATTCGTGCAACATAATCCAACAAAATTATTCAATCTTTCTTCAACCCACTTACGCGTTTCATGATTATTTCCCTATTTCGTTTTCATTTTTAGGCCTTCATTTGGAGCTGAAATATCAAGAGTTTCCTACAGTCAGTGACAGTGACATTTAACTACAAGAACTAACAGGGAAGCTTATAAAATGTGTGATAAATTGAAGCACAAGATCGTTAAAAGCGAAGCAAAACCAGATAAAGTCACGGCAGTCGCACTTCATGTAGACGAAGATTGTCCTGATGGCGGGTACGGTTGGATCATTTGTATGGCTGCTGCCATCATTCAGTTCATTATCCTGGGTATTCATAACAACTTTGGAATTCTCTACACCTCTTTGATAAGCGATCTTCATTTTAAACCTTCAGATGCAGGTAAAAATTTCAATTTTCAAAGATTTACAGGGGAACTGACTGATTAGTTGTTCAAAAATTTTGTCGGGTAATCCGGGTTATGATTGCATGCAAAACAAAAATTATTCTGCGCCTTCGAGACGAAGGGCTCTCTTCTCTTTTTTATATTATTTTCAATACTATATTTGCGTCGTACGCGAATGAACTTGTTCATCAAGGGAAAGTCTGTCTGTACGGGGCGCCAAGAGCGAATGAATTATTAAGCCGTTTTTATTTACATCTATCGAAAGAGTCAACTCGAAGATTTTTCTATCATAGTTAGAAAAATGTTGTCGTTTAGGAAAGGAAATAAATTGAAGTAGAAAAGGGGTTGCACATTTTTTTTTCTACATGGCGATCCGTTATTTGAGACCTCTAGTGAATATAAATTTTCTACTTACGTAACATATTAATAAGTTACTTGTATCGTCGGGAAAACCCTATGCCCAGTAGAGATAAACGCTCAGGTGGCGTGATCAATGTATATTCCACATTCGCTACCTCTGCCTTCTTCTTAGGCCTCTCTGGGTATACAAGGCAATATTTGTTATGTACCATAGATTCTTAAGTAGCGTTACTTCATTTCAATTTATCGGTGAACTGCAATTTGCAAGAAAAACAAAGGTCGCAACAACTCGTGATTTCTTTAAGGTCTCAAAGTCGATAAATCTGGTTAGTGCTTTTTTGCAGTCACGACTGAAAGGATATGCTTGAATTTCGGTGATTGACCTGACTTGTTAATTACCATATTCGCCATATCCAATTGAATATTAACGGAAAGAGTATAGAGCAATGTTTAATTTTGAAAATTCTTCGGTCCAGACTTGGATGAAGAGGCCGGTCATGCGCGATCCAACGTCATTGATCAGTTTTCTTGTGAAAGTTTACTCGACAAATGTTCTGTGTTAGGGCCAAGTTGCTGAGTCACTATAGTTATGTGCCATGTTTTGGTTTGATCTGACTAGCATAATCCCACAATTATTTTCAAAACTGTGCGCCAATTTAGACAAATTAAGTGAAACAATCATTTTTACCGTCGTTCGTGAAGATTGGCTGCGTGTATTGGAAGAACTTAGGCATGAAGCAACGAAGGATAAAAGGTTTAAGTGCGTAGTCTGTGATTAAAGAGTGACCGCGCTAATAACACTTCACTCCCTACTCTTTAGCTTGGGTTGGTTCCATTGCGTTTGGGATGAACTTCCTCTGTGGTCCAATCACCAGCAGCTTATGTCAGAGATACGGCATTCGTTTGGTGGCGGCGGCTGGAGGTTTTATTGCTTCCCTGGGCCTCTTCCTAACGTCATTCACTAACAGCCTCTACGTCATTTACCTCACTTACAGTTTCCTTTGGGGCTTTGGCTCCAGTCTAAACTATGCTCCAACTATGCTTGTATTGGGTAAGTAAGAGATCTGTGGCTCAAATGAAAGTTTTTACATGAGAAAGCCAACAACAGACACTGCATCGCTGCATTCTCTTTTCACAACTGTTTACTTTCATAAGAGGCCATGAAATCGAAAGGTTGGAGATAGGATAGTCTGAAAACTTTCTTCATTTTCTATTTACTTCTCCAGGTCAATATTTCAAAAGGTATCTTCCATTAGCAAACGGAATAGTTACAGCTGGAAGTGGTGTCGGCACCTTAGCAATGGGACCATTGTTTCATGTCATTCTCTCATCAATGGGCTGGAAAAAAATGCTCAGGATTTTCTCTTGTTTAGGAATTGTCATGTTCATATGCGCTCTGCTTTACCGTCCCCTCCCTGCTAAGTATAAACGTGCTCAAAAACAGCCTGAAAAGAAGACAAAGTTGTTTGACTTTTCTGTGTGGAAAATGAAGTCATTTGTGTTCTGGGTGATCTCCATGTCTCTCTTGTTTATTGGCTATTTTGTTCCGTTTATTCATTTGGTAAGTTCGGCAATTTTTATTATAATAAAATCTTATAGTTGAATCTATTTCAACAGCAATTCAGATGATGCAAAGGTCTTTACTTGCGTGGGGGTTTCATTGTTTCACTGAAGTGAAACCTTAAGAGACTTCGAGATTCTGAAGCTGATGAAAGAACCTTTTTATCGTGCTCTTGATTTGTTGCTCGTGCTAACTTTCATCATTTATTTTGAATAACGCTGAATTACAGTGGTTTAGGTTAAGCGATAAAAGGGAACTCGGTAACCGCATATTGACTCAAATAACGTGAATGATCATTTCCTTAGAAGGTCAAATACAAATTTAAATCATACAACAGTGTGACAAACAAAAACAGAAAGCTTAAACCGATCGGACTATTTTGCTTAAAACAGCAATTGTATGTGTAAGTTTTGCAGTGAGAAGAATTCCATTCAGTCTACTTGGGCTTAATACTTTGACACTTAAACAAACATTCTACGTTTCTTTCTTTAAGCCCAATCACGCAAAAAATCTTGGAGTGCCTGGTTATCAGTCCTCTCTTCTGGTCGGTTATTTGTCTGTCGCCTCTACCGTATCACGGGTTCTATTTGGTCTTATTCTTAATCATCCCAGAGTGAACCGCTTTTACGTGTTACAGGTATTACTTGCACATCTCTCTTATTTTAATTTTCAGCAGCACACTTTCGATTAATTTGGACGGTATCCAGGGTACTGGATCGAGCCCATGAACTCGACGCTAGCTCGAGTTCCTGAGTTCAACTCTGGCTACTTGATACCAAATTTAAACATCTGAATGAAATCTTTTATTCTCTTTTAGCTCTGTTTCCTCATGATGTCAGTGACCACCACTTTATGTCCCCTTGCACAAGATTATACTGGTCTCATTCTCTATGCAGTAGGATTTGGAGCATTTGATGGTTGCTTCGTTCTGTTGATTGCTATCACTACAAGTGATATAGTTGGAGCTGGAAAACTCCCTGAAGCTTTAGGAGGCTTATATGGGGTTATCGCCATTCCAATGATATGTGGTTCGCCGCTTGCAGGTTTGTAGATGTTACTAATAGGGGAGGGGGGG